AAATAACGCATGGTCTGAGTAAGTAAAATGGGCATTGTTGCATTGATTTGGTTTTAGACGATATAACCTACACGAATATGTAAACAAAAACTTTTATTTTGGATGCGATTAATCGTTTGACAGCACTATTAATATATTCAGTAACATTTTTATATTATGCAATTATATTTTTTCTTATTTTTTAGATACTTTTTAGATAAATTTCATAATTTTAGATACATTTAATATATAATAGACATATATGAATTCATTTATATTAATATAAATTTGTTAATTTATATTTTATTTATTAAATATAATATATTATTACATTTTGTTAATTTGTAATTTATCAATATATAATTTATTATATTTATAATTTATTAATATATAATTTATAAATACAATTATTTCAATTTACATTTACTGTAATTATTTTTTTAATATGACTCTCACATATTCTTGACTCTGAGCGAAACTTGATTCACCCAATAATCTGGTTCAGTTATGAACTACTCAGAACAATGTATTTATCATACGTGTGTGTGTGTGTGTGTGTGTGTTAGTCTGTGGCAGCTGGCGGTGGATTATTTCGATCACTGTCCTGAGTTCGGTCGCGTGTATCTGGAGCTGCAGATCGAGAGAGTCCCACTCGACACTGAACGCAAAGCTATTAAAGTCCTGCGAATCTGTGAGGACAGACAGATGAGTGAACAGGGTGAGTGACCTCAACTATCTCCGAGTTTCAGATTTAACGCCACATTAAAATAATAAACAGTGATTGATCGCTTTACAAGCTCGTCCTCTTCTTGCCTAAATGAGCAGCTCTTTTCCAGAGTAATCTTCAGTGAGGACAGGATCTTATTCTGTGAAACAAAGTCATTGATACATGATGATATGTGTGTTTCAGTGCGCAGCATATGTAAGATTATGGCTAAAAGAGCTCTGAGGAACAACAGACTGGGATCTGCTCTGTCCTGGAGCATCAGAGCCAAAGACGCTGCGTTCGCTACACTCATCTCGGAGAGGTTACACACTATCTGTCTGTCTGTCTACAATATCCATAAGCTGTTATATTGCTCTTTTTACCTAACCCATGTTTTTTTTCCGCAGGTTTCTTCAGGATTACTGTAACAAAGGCTCTTTCACAGATCTGGATCTGTTGGATAATCTGGGTCCTGCCATGCTGCTCAGTGACAGACTGACGTTTTTAGGTACAATATGAGAGACCGATGCCATTTATGTGATTTATCGGAGCAGAAGAGCCGCTATAATTCAGTGTGTGTCATATTTCAGTCCGCCGTTCATTCTCAGATCCGTTTAACACTGCTTTCGTTCAGCTTTCCTGTGATCGATTCTAGCCACATTCATTTCAAAGAAAAAACACGTTTGTCTTTCATGTAATAACTTGCTCATCAAGTATTGATATTGAACAAAAGCTAAAGCTAGTCATTGTTTTTAGCAAATGCACATTCAGCTTCACACCATCCAATCAATTACCAATTGATAAAAGCATGTTTTTCTTTTCTAACATACTGTTTCACTTTAAAATATGTCATGCTACAGATGTAAAAATGGTTTCTAATGCCAGATCATGTTTCCTTTAAGAAGGTCTTTTATCCATGAGATGCATGACTCTGTGTGTTTGTAGGAAAGTACCGTGAGTTTCACAGGCTCTACGGTGAGAATCGTTTCTCCGAGGCGGCCAAACTCCTGCTGTCCCTCATGACGGCAAAGATCGCCCCGCGCAGTCTGTGGATGACGCTGCTGACCGACGCGCTGCCGCTGCTGGAGCAGAAAGAGGTCAAGACACAGACAACTCATGCTTTACAATCACATTTTACTTTAGTCAAGAAATTTGTAGAAACAATGAATATTTGTCTACAGAACTTCAACCATTTAAAGGCACAATATGTAATTTTTTGCCACTAGAGGGCGCGTATTCAAAACAATCAAATAGACAAAGGTGTAGTTTGATGACGCTGTGACTGAGTGTCGAATCTTGGGAGTTGTCGTCTTCATCCCCACAGCGGAAGGAAACATTTGGGATAATGTAAGTACACAAGTCAGCAAAATATATAACACCGTTCTAGTGGTTTTTGGATATTTTAATAAAAAAATCTTACATATTGTGCCTTTAAGCTGTACTATAGCAGCTTAAACCATAAAGGTTGACCATTAGTGGTGTTTAGCATTCATCTGTGGTGTTTTGTTTGTTTGCATGTAAAGGTGATCTTCTCAGTGGATCAGACGTATGAGCTCATGTCCTGTCTGGAGGAGCTGAACTCTGGAACCAAAGACTCAAGCCAGACAGACCAGGTACGAATCATCTAGAACATCCCAGAGATGCTCATTATAATGTTTAGTTGTGAATTAGGATGTTTCTAAGTTGTTTTTCTTCTGTGTTTCAGGATGAAGATATCGAGTCCACGAAGACGGAGCTCCTGCGACTGGCTCTGGCCCGTAACCTCGCCATGGCCATCGTCAAAGAGGGAACAATAGAAACATAAATTCATCTGATCATCCAATCAATCACTTACAGCTGTTTTTCACTCTATTTGTGTCCTGTACATAATTCATAAACATGACTTCTTTTATAAAACTTTTTCCAGTATTTGCAAAAAAACGAATTTGTCTTCCTTATTCATTTATTTTGCCTTTATATAAAAGGTCTGATGAGGGAAAACTTGATTGTTCATGCTCTCTTTTGAATTAGAATTTGAGGTACAGCAACTTAAATGGCCTATTAACTGTAAGAATTATAGAGATGGAAAAAATACCATAAACCAACTACTGTAATTGTTTTTAGTGCAAGAAACCTCAGCATGGGGTTGATTTAAGTAGCATTTGCACTAAGAACTATAACCTTAACATTTTAACAGTCATTCTAACTTTAAGAAAAGGACGGAAATTATTTATTTACAATATCGACAGATGAACGATATCGTTGGATTCACTAATAGAGCGATTTTGTCCCGCTGATAAACAAAAAATAGCCAATCAGAACCATTCTTAAAACCGCGCGCTCGCTGCAATGACGTCACTGAAGCGCGCATTTTGAAAAAAAGACCGTTATTGTCCGTTTGTGTGACGCTAACGTTAATAGTTATCGTTCTCAGCTTGAACGAACCTTTATTGTACAGTTGTATTGTAACATACAGCTACTATCACTTCACAAAAAGCGGATGAGCAAAACATCAGGGATTCAGAAGAGGGAAATCTCATAAATCCGTTTTTCACAGCGGGAAAAGAAGGTTAGACACCCTCAAACATCTCCTTCATTTATTATTTTGAATCATTTATAATGTCACTTCTCATTATTACGAGAAACTAAGTCATTATTACGAGAAAGTTTCTCAATATAACGAGATACTAAGTCATAATTTTGAGAAAGTTTCTCATTATTATGACTTACAGAATTATATTTTTTCTCAACTGTGGCGGAAACGGGCTTCCATACACATCTCATAGCAGCTGCAGTTCAGACTAATTTAGTTAGGCTGTCTAATTTACAAATGCAGATCAACTTGAATTGGTGTTTGCATCCCATTTTCCTTTTCATTTTGGCCATTTCTGAATGAAATAATAGACAGAGAGTAAATGTAAGTCATGACTTGATTTGAACTATCAGGAAATGACTGCATTGTGAAATTTGCAGAGGGATTACTAATTTCCACCCCAAGACCAGTGTTGCCAACTAATTTTCAGGGGAAGTTGCTAAAGGAAGGTGGATTTGTTGCTAAAAGTTGCTAAATGACGTTGTGATGTCATTGCGTGATGACATCATTACGTCATCACGACGCAAAATTGTGTCACTACATCAAATCTCAGCAAAAATATATTTTATATGTTAATTTAGATTTGCTCGCAAAATAATATAAATGCATAATATAATATTAAAATATAAATAACTAATTTTAAATACAACATTGAATTATTAAACACTTTCACATTTTTTAACAATTACAATTTAAGTTTATTTTTATTAGCTAGTAAATTATTATCAAATTGAACAACTGCAAATAGCAATAACTTAATTCACGTGATGTTGTGTACTGCTAGGCATCTTTGGTTGCCTCTTTTTGTGTAATTTTGTTGGAAAATGTGTGCCTTTTTATTGTTTGAGTCACTTATCAAAAGTTGCTAAAAGTAGCCAAATAAAACTTAAAAATAGCTAAATTTGTTGCTAGGTGCTTTTGGAAGAAAAAGTTGCTAGGGTAGTCTGAAAAGTTGCTAAATTTAGCAACAAAATTGCTAAGTTGGCAACACTGCCCAAGAGGAAACATGTAAAGAAGAAAACTATGCTGGTAAACCCATTTGATAAAGTCTTTAATGGCGCAGTACACATGATGGATTCGTTATTAAACACCAGAGCAGTGCATCAGCATCATCTATAACTTTTACAAAGGTCTACATTTGTCCCACACATTTTCATGAGTCCTTCTAAACCATCGTCATCAACGTCAGACCAGATGAAGCTTTGACTCTTAAAAAGAGACACGATTCATAATAATACACAGACAAGGTTCCTCAGAAATACTCAAAACACTTTGATGCAGATGCACAATGAAGCTCTGAAACACGTCAGACAGAATCAGCAAAGATGCTCCATGATGTCCAGAAATACAGTCCAATGTGTTAAAGCACACAAGATTCGCAGGCATGAATCAGATGAATCTCACCAAAATCAAAAACCACCATGAATTCACCCCAAAATCAAAAAGACAACATATTTTGCGATATTAAAACTGTTTTAAGACCAAAACATGCTTTCAAGTTTTACCCTAAAATTAAAACAAATGAATAAGTTGTTATATTTTCATTCAGGGGAAAAAAACATTCTTTATGCAAAAATATGATTTGTTTTGTTTCTGTGGGAGAAATACAAGTCATTTTTGTGTGTTATCAGAGTCTAAACACATGATCGTAATGAATTGTACAGTTTGCACACATCAGAGGAGCAGTTGTCCTCTTCTTCTGGTCGGACACATTAAGGTTTGTTTGGGACTAAAATCACATGAGGCCTTTATCTGATGAAATAAAATGCTCACTTGCCCTGCTACAGTGCTTAAAAGAATCAAATCACGTGAAACGCTCAGAGGATTGACCGCTGATGCCTCCACATTACCAAAACACATCTCCAATCTGACTTATGATAAACTGTGCTAATCATTTCAGTTCATCCTCCATCAAGATCTTCATCGCATAACCTGCAGGCAAAAAACACTATGTAAATATGCCACAATTAAATAAACAAATCTAAAATTGACAATAAAGGCTGTCGACTATCTGAGACAGACTGTAATGCTGTAACCTGAGTCCAAACGTTCCTGTAGCAGCAATAAATAAAAACAGAAACAGTGTTGAACTATAACACAGGCAGATAAAAACTCAAAATTGACAACATAATGCTACGATGACGTTACGCGTGTAAACTCAAAGCGTCCTCCATGTAAACTCGTTTGACTGCAGGTACATTCGTTCTGATGCTTCGTGACTTAGAGAGCTGAAGTTTGCAGGAAATGAATCGTCTAGTTCTAGAAACAGCAAAGTTCCAATGCTTGTTTGTTCTGAAGAGCGCAAGAACATCTAGCACTGTCTGAACAGAGTGAAATCGCGGTTAAATACACTCCACGGACAGCGGCGAGGTCATGTGACACCATCAGTATCAGCTCGGCTTCTGAGCTTACCACCATTTACCATAGTTTACTTCAAAATACCACAGTTACAGTGCTTGAAAAACATCCATTGTGTTTGATTTCTCAACAAGTAGTCAATGAAAAGAGCCGCTCAACTAAATATATTTTTTGCAAACCTGTTACCAAAACTTCAGACATGTTCAATACAGTTTACAACCCTGATTTGTAGACTTTCATTTTTTAAATAAACATGATAGACATAAAAAATACATACAATTCTCTATGTATGTATATATAACAAATAGGGTTGCTAAAGTTGACAAACTTAAACCATAAACATTTTTTTTTTTACATTTTGTTACTTGAAATAAAATTAACAACATGTTTTATTTAGCTACGTTTGACATTTCTCATTTTCGTTTAACTTAATGTACTAAAGTAACTAAAAAAAGTGAAATACAAATAATAAAAACTATAAACATATTTGAAAAAAAACCATTAAGTAATACAAATGACAAAATACAAAAACTAGTTACTAAAACTTTAAAATTACAATGAAAACAAAATACAAAAATAAAAACAATTTTTAAATATTTTAAAAACAACTATTATATTATCTCTATGACTCTAAAATATCACTGGTAAAAGGTTGTAAATTTAGTCTAAATTAATTCATAAATCATTCAAGTTTGTGGTAGATAACTAGCTTATTTCACAAATTAAAGGAATTTTTTAAAAATGTAATTTTCTAACCAAAACTTTGTACTGTTTGTTGAAACTGCCAGTTAATTATTGTTTTACTATGGTATTTTGACAGAAACTATGATTACCATGGTAAACTGCTTTAAGAGCAGCACGCAAAAGATCAATCTCTGAAACGTGCGTGTCCGCTTCGGACCATCATGTGTGTCACTGATGTTGTGTTACTGTATTAATATCCAGCAAACATCAAGCATCAAATGCTGCTTCACAAGCCTACAGTAAAACACTGACTGAAAACAAATGAACAGCACAAATGAATGATGATACTTGGGAATGAACATTTAAGAGTTCAAGCAGGTAAACGGCGAGATCTACAGGGACCCCCATCTGTCCGCTGGAGGAAACTGATCCAGCTCTCCGACCTCCGAATACTGATGCTCTCCCAGAAGATACATCAGCTTATAGCGCAAACGCACACGCTCCTGAAACACACACACACCAGTAAACCTTTATGAAAAGATTCCCTAGAGGAGAATCAAAGGGCTGTCACATTTTGATTGGTTGGATTGTTTTATTATTTATCCCCCTCCTTTTTTAATAAAAATAATTAATTAATACGCTTTTTTTAATAATAAAAATAATAAATAGTTTTTAAAAGATTTTCAAAAAAAATATTTTATTGTATTTTTAAAAATAGATTTTATTTGACTGTTATTTTTTTGTAATTAAAAAAGCATCGAATGTGCTTGACCCCTTACCTTGAGTGGGTTGGCGAGCAGCATGACCTGAGTGATGGATGCGGGGGGCAGGATGGGGTTAAAGGGCGCGATCTCTGTACCTGATGGAGGCTGAAGCTTCACTCGCATAGACTGACACAAACACAACACAATACAGGGTAAACGGTCAAGTTAAAGTAGAGGCAGCACAATAACACACTCAGCAAAATATCGTCTAATTATCGTTATCGATAAAATCCCATAAAATATCGAGATATAATTTTTTGTCAATATCGCACACCCCTAGGTCAGAGGTCATGTTTAACTTTCAGAACTTCAGAGAGTCATCAAACGTGTTTCAAGAAATCTCTTGAAAATTTATAGTGAAAGGAATGTTGTGAATTGGTTCAACTGAATCATTAAAATGAACCGATTCAAATGAACGATTCATGTAAAATCGCTGTGTAAATCTGTGTTGGCAGCGGAGGAGGTCGTACCTTGGGCACGGCTGCTTGCAGCACTATGCTTCGCACGGGTAACGGCGCCGTGTTGAGCAACGACACCACCAT